AAACGAGGGGCTGTGACAAACTGTTTCGTCGGAGTTTCACCGACTCATCAGGAGGCTGAACCCTCAACAGTCTGCAGAATCCCCTCACTGATTACACTGTAAATGATAATCTACCTTAACCAAAATCGAAGTAGACTATCACTCACCCACACCAGATGGTAAACTCTACAGACTGTCGGTTCACACCCCATCACAAGCCAGCAAAACATCCACGAAACAAAGAAAGGTCTGTCACATATTATATATATATATATATATTGTCACATAATATCAGAGCGCCAAAGCAAAAAAAACAAGGAAAACAAAAAAGCCTTAAATTCGTTTTTAATATTCTTCCTTACAACTCCCCCTGTTCATAACCTCTTCCGTACAAGGCCGCCCATGTGGATGTAGGTTGAGAGGGGGCTGCCCCCACCCCCTGGTGTCATATCCACCCACTTGCACACAGCCAAAAGGCAAAGAGGCAAAGAAAAGAGGAAGGGAACAGCCAAATAAAACAGAACAGGGGGCAACAAAACAAACATAGATACCAAAACATTCTTTGTCTACAAAAAAATCAAAAAGAGCTCCGATCCACAGTGTGACAACCAAAGAAAAGGAAAAGGCAATCCCGGATGACGATTCCCACATACAAGCACCGCCCCGCGCTCAAAAGGCCAAACAACGGGAACCAACCAGGATGCCCATTCAACAGGATGCCAATCCTAGATGACAAGTCCCACATGCAAACACCGCCCCCGGCAACTACAGGCCAAACGACGGGACAAGACCAACAAGGATGTCAAAACACGCTTCCCTGCAAAACGATAACCCGATGACCAATCCCTCATGAAGCACCGCCATCCCTCCATAAGATAGACCAAATAAGGGGACAAGATCAACCGGAATCGAAGCAGACAAGATTCTGATTCACAAAACAAACATTCTACCATATCCATAGTTAAAAAAAAAACGGAACCATTCAGTAGGCCCCCAAAACGAAATACCCCTAAAAAGGGGAAAATGGAAAAGCAACATAGTCACAAGAGTATCAGAGCCCAAATGCGAACAAAAAGGAAAAAAGAAAGAAAAACAGGAAAAAATGAATTCACTTTTTTATCTTCTTCCTTATAACTCCCCCTGTTCAGAACCTCTTGCGTACAAGGCCGGCCACGTGGTATATATGGATAGTTCTGTCTGTCTCTCTCTCCCTCCTCTCTTGCACGAGGACAACAAACGAGGGGCTATATCTATCTATCTACATATATCTGTCTCTCTCTCTTTTTCTTTATTTTGGGCAAGTCTGTCTCTCTCTGCCTCCTCTTGCACGAGCGAGGTGGATGTGGAGGAGTTGGTCACTCTCACCTCCTTGTTTTTCTCGACTTTTCTCTCTATAGAACTACTACAAGGAAAGAAAAAGAAAGAAAAGTTCAACGGAATCCGTTCCAGCTGGAGGCCGGATCTCGTATGAGAGCGCTGCCGAGCTACCCTCGTGTTACCGACTTCACAGGCGGGGCGCTTTCGTTTTCGGCGAGTCCTCTCAATGCCTCCGTCGTGACACTCTTGGAGGGTCCAAGAGTCCCCTCGATGGAGCGCGACCCTCTCGGTCTCGTTTTTCGCACACGAAGTAGAGTCCAATGGAGCGTGACCGGAACTCCTCTACAAAATGAGGAGTGCTAGAGTGAACCCCACCACCATTTTTGCCGACTGCGCCGGGCCCTCTCGTTTTTCGACAGCCCTCTCGATAGCTACGGTAGGTTCCGACACTCTCTATTTGTTCGTGTGACACAAAATGGAGAGTGCTGTGCAGCGATCCCATCATTCTCGATTTTGTGAAATCACGATTCGAGAGTGGTGGAGCGCGTCCACTTAGGCCTTTTTGGTCCCTGCTGCGTGTGCGGTTAGCACTGCGGCGTGACGACAGCCTTGCTCAGGCCTTCCTGCGTTTTGGATACAATTTGAGAATTCTACAGCTAAATTTCAGTTCGTTGAAACAACACGATGGCTTCTTTCGATGCTTCGTTCTGCCTCGTTTAGCTGTCTGCTAGCTGTCTTACTTAACGGCTGTCAATCTCCCCGCTTGAATCGTTGGTTGATTACCGTGTTCTCCGCAATCGAACGTACGGTCCTCATCGCTGTATTTAGACTGAAAGTTGAGCCAAATACAGCATCAATGAGCCTACGTTCTATTCGGAGGAAGATCATATGACGCTGTCTAATGCATGCAAGGAGGGAGAGTGAGATACCCAAGAAGCAGACTCAATCTCCAGTCTGGAAAAGTAGCCAAACATCCCACACGACGGCTTTTGTAAATGTGTCGCTTTAGCACGCAACCGAAGGCACATCCACGATGTCACATGACAATAATCAACAAGCCACAACCGAGACACCAAAACAGAGCGATGGTTTTTAAGCTCTCGTAAACTGCGCCCTCCCCACATAGCCCAGGGAGGTAGTCAGACGAAGAACATGCAAATGAGCCGACATCGCTCTGTACGCGTGTGCGTGTGTGCGTACGTGTGTGTGTGCGACTGCGCGTGCGCGCGCGTGTGCGTGTGTGTGCCCGTGCGACGGAGGTACTCAGACAAAGAACATGCAAAACAACCGACATTGCTCTGTGTGTCGCATATTTGGTATACACTCAGAAAAAGTACGACTCTGCCAGACTTTCGTCGGACTTTCACCGACTCATCATTGCTCGGGGTGTGTCACTGTAATATGTGTGTGTGTGTGTGTGTGTGTGTGTGTGTGTGTGTGTGTGTATGTGTGTGTGAGAGAGAGAGAGAGAGGGAGAGAGAGAGAGAGAGAAGGGGGGGGAGGGGATGGGGGAGGGAAGATCACGCGGTTGCACCAATTGTTCGGCAATTCTAGGATAAATAATGGCATGCGCTTTAAATAAGCATGATTGCCAGTAACAGAAGGTCACCTAGTACTACCGAAGATCAGATTGCCAACATCGTTACCACGAGCCATAGCGTCAACCTTATTCTGAGCCTACGAGATTGGTTACCACGCTCAGCGTCCGGAGTACGCATGCCCATGAATAAGCATGACAGGGGCGATTCCCACCGCTAGTAGGCGCCGCCGTCGACCGCCCCGACCAAGAAATTCCGTAGGCGACGACCATGCACATCGCCGCCTCGACAACGTCAAATCTCTCCCTTCCCTTCCCTATCTACAGAAAAATATGCAACCCAAACCAACCCAACCCAACCCAACCCAACCCAACCCAACCCAACCCAACCTGCAATGGCGCTTTCAATTCGTTTGACTACAATCATCGACAAACAGCCGGTCTATCCCCATCGGCGGGAAGCTGCTGATCTCGTCACTCAGCACTCCTTCCAGTTCAGATAGTAAATGAGCTCGAAGTTGGTGTCCGCCGAATCCAGCGCGATGACAGCTTTCTTGCCCTCCACTCTGACCACCACCTTGATGTTGAGGTTGGGAACGTTGTTGCACTGGCTCCAAACTTGCGTCGAGAAGGAGTCTGTGTGCTCGAAGTTCGCCACGAGCTCGCCCTTCAGCTTGCGGGTGACAGACGGAGTCCCAGTTTGCCCGGAGAAGTAGAAGTGCGTCTCGTAAATCCCCTTGGAATCCTTGGCTATGTCAGCGAAGCCGCGGCCGGTGACTTGTCCCAGCGTGCAGCTCCACCCGTCAGGATAATTCAAGGATATGGACATTTGGCACGCCTTCCTCTTGTTCGCAAGCCCTTCGTCGGTCGTCGCCACCATCCCGCCGAAGAGAAACGTGAGTGTCTTCCAGTCCGGAGATAAGACGTACTGGGTGTTGCTATAGCTGCACCCGTTCCCGCCATATGTGACCCAATTAACGGTGACAGACGACGGTTGCGCACGTGCAGGTGCAGCAGCTGCAATCAGTAACAACAAGGCCGCCATAGCCACGGCGGCGCATGCGGAGCGCGCCATCGTCCTGTCCTCGCGCGTCGATGGCGGTCTCGCTGGTCCTACCGCTCTTCCCCAGAGAACTCCGGCACGGAAGACCGCAGATGGCGATGGATGCCAACCCTCTTCCGCTACCAAGTCGGTGAAGGTGTCCTTCCCTCCTTCACTCTCTCTCTCTCTCTCTCTCTCTCTCCCCCTCTCTCTCGCTTCACTACGCACAGGCGGTACGACTGCGGCTTCCTGTAATGATCCGTTGCCCAATGATAGCGATGTTCGCTACGCGCTTACTGCGTTGCCAACATGGTCTAGTGCCTATATATAGTGGCTGAGGCGGTTTTTCCTCCTTTCGGACACTGTATGATTCTTGTTCATATGGATTCGAACTCGGGCGCGTTTTACAACAATTCATGGGTGTACCAACTGAGCTAAGCCCGTCGGTGCGTTGGTTCGAGAGTGCCAGGTGCGTCAATTGGCAGTGCCGAGTGGTACAAGTGGTACTTAGGGCATACTCACACGGAGACCTATACACATAGTCCTTCGGGACATCCGTTAACATTGGAACGATACAGAGAAGATTTTTTTATTTTTTATTTTTTTTTGGACCATTTATCGATTTTTTTTTTTTTTTGTTCCCCCAGGGGGGAGTGGGCGGCGCCACGCGTCGCTGCAGTGCAGGACGAAGGCAACGCTGGAAGGGTAGAGTAGGCAAGCCTACCCCTATGACCCCGCCGTAGCCCTGAAAAATTAATTTAATATCATGTGGCCCGATGGACCACGGATCAGATATTAAACTGATCAGAACAGATACTACAATTCATCTTAGCCAAAAGGCCGAGAAAGGTATATACATTTCTCGATTTATGCGTGTCATCCTTGAAAGCCCAGGGGGCATTTGCTAATTTCCCCTTCTCTGTATCGTTCCAATTGTAACGGATGTCCCGAAGGACAGATACAGAGAAGATTAGCATGGCCCCTGCGCAAGGATGACACGCATAAATCGAGAAATGGTCGAAATTATATATATATATATATATATATATATATATATATATATATATATATATATATATTCCCAAAATCCCAAAAAAAAGGGGAAAAGGCCTGTCACACAGATCTCCCAAATTCGCAAATCTCAAATCGGCCCTTCCCAAATCCGCATATTTTGCGGATTTGGGGTCGCCGTGTGAGTGTGCCCTTAGACAGATCACTATCGAATGAACGCGTTGGTCGCTGTATAGCTTCCAGTCCACGTAATGACAGAGCGTACGGACCAAGCTTATCACAGTGGCTGAAACCATGCCAGCTTTATTGGATTCCCGGTTTCGAGGATGCATCGGGCCATATATGAGGTCGGTTTCAGCGGTTGGATCAAGTTGAGCGACCTCTTGTATTAGAAAAAAAAAAAAAAAAGGAAAGAGTTGATTGAGTGACGTGTGGGTGAATAGGCGTCGTGCAGCGGAAGTAGGTCAGATGTCTTTGGGCTGAAATTTCTTTATTTTTTATTTCATTTTGGCAGTTTTTCTTTTTTCTGTTTGTTTACTCTCAATTTCACCTCACACTACCTACCTACCACTACTCCTGATTGTAGGCATACGGGGTAGCAGCCAGAACCGTCTTCACGAGAGAACATGCGGGGGCTGCTCCCGACCTGCAGGTGGGCAATACCGGCTAGGGGACAGCCGGTAGCATCAGGAACCATGCCAAGAGGACAAATCCTTGTGCCTCCCCTCAGGTGGTGGTCCCCTCCCCTACGAACATCAGCAGACTCTGCTCAATGCGGATCGGGGGATCAGCAGACTCTGCTCAATGCGGATCGGGGGATCCAGTGGTCTATCTCTAGGTGGCGGGCGGAGGTAGTTTAGTCATTTGCTGGAGTAGTCGACGCTTCCACGTTATATTATATATGCCGCCGGCCATGTGTAACGTGTACCATGGCACATTCCGTGCCCAGGGTCGACTGTCGCGACGATAACGGCCTGTTGCGCCACACCCAGTGGCCAAGATTTTGAATGCACCTGGAAAACTTCTCGACCAGGTGCATTGATAATCTTGGCTGGTGGCAAGCGGTGCATCTAGGCCCTAATAAAAAGGCCGTATTGAACGACGTGTATTTTCTGGGTATGTTCCAGGTCGCCAACGAGGCTGTCCCAGTTGGCACACCCACGAACGCTTTTTCTTTCCTGGGTACGTGCCAGGTTGCCAACGAGCCTGTTTCATCCCTGAAATAGGGGCGGGGGAAGTTTCAGGCAGGGCTTTTTTTTTTTTTTTTTTTCCCCAAATACGTTGGCTCCAAATTTTTTTATTTTTGTTTTATAATAATCAAACATCATTGGCGCGAGAGCACCTGCTAGCAGGAGTTGGTAAGAGCATCCTCCTCTAGCAGGGATCCAATCTATTGGCGGGGAGCTGCACCTGCTGGAAACGGCTCCAGCGTCCGTTCAGTGTCATGTACAAGGAGCAAGCTTTTCAACAATCCAGGAAAAGAATGCACAGTGGGGGGCCAGCATTGATTATCCTCTCCAGGAGGGGATTGACTGATCCCCCTTCTACAAGACACAACACAGGAAACCCTAATTACTTGCCCTCTGTATTCCCCTCTCAACCATCCGTGATCACCCATAGGGCCATCAGGCCATAAAACCCCGAACCTGAAGGCGGCAAATCTTGCCTGTGGCTGTGTCATGGTAGGACATGGATATGAGTTATACTCATTTCCTCCAGAGTGCAATCACACTTACGATTATTCAACTTGTCATGTATGCAAACAGCGAAACAGCAAATTGGCGACAGGCGCCCACTCAGTACTCAAGATATCGTATCCACATAAGAGTTCTCTTCAAACTGGCTATGGCGACTGAGCGCCCACACAACTCACTGTTCGCACTCTGGATCACCCTGGATGTCCCACACGCAACACTCAGTATCACACTTCACACACACACATGCTA